AGAGCAGTGACCATGTTGATTTTATTAATAGTGTTAGTCTTAAGGTCTCCAACAACAAGCTGAAAGACCCCTTCCATTCCATGCCCTGTCACCATACTCTCAAAGGCGATAAGAGAGGCCAGAACATGAGACCCAGAAGCAATGGACTAAGTCAGAGTGGAGAATAGTAGACTGGTGGAATCCTTCAGTCACTTCTTGCAACCAATTCGAAGGCTGGAGTGTGTGTGTGATGTTTCGATGGTCGTCACCATGGAAACCGAGGCATAGGGTGCTTTGAGGTTCCTTCCCAGTCCATCTGAGCCAGATCCTGTCCAGGCTCCAGTGTGGTTTATACCTCAAGCCGAGGGCTTCTGTAAGCTTGGTCTTCTCTTTGGTTTCCCAATGTGCTGGAGGAGTTCCTGAAATTGAACTTCGGTCAATGGTGCTGCAGTCATGCATGTTGGAGGATCAGATGTGGGATGATTGGACAGATTCAAAGAAGGCTTGTCTGAACCGCCTGTGGACTGAACAAGATGCTGATGCTGGCGCTGCTGTGTAAGATGAAGATGCTGAGCAGAGAGCTGCGTCAAGGTCATCAAGTAGAATCAACAAGAGAGAGGAGCAATGGCTAGCAATGGCAACAGGGCAACATGGCAACAGGCAACCATGGCAACTAGTAAGGAGCGGAAAACAGAGGAGGACTGGATGACCAGGTCAATCGAGTCAATCGAAGCTGGAATTTATGAGCTTTCCAACAGTTCGGCGAATCGGTGTGGACAACTGCAAGCGAGTTCTTCGGGTTATTTGAATCCTTCGTGTTCAAACGACAAACTGCAAGCCAGTTATCTGCAAGCCAGGCAAAACGACCAATGCCAGTCCTAGGTAGACTGAGCTTGTTGTTATCGATCGGCAGTTTGTTTCGAACAACAACACGGAACGACAATCCATCGCTCGGTTTACGTATGTATCGAACAACATCAGTGTATCTCTCCGTCGAGTTAATGAAAAAGTGAGGAACTGAAGCATGACTCAATAAAAGACTTAAGCTCAGGTGATTCGAAATAAATAAATCATGATTCGAAGCATGACACACAAGCCGAGCCTTCGATATGCAGTAGGAGCTCATTTTTCGATGAATTCTGTTGACTTGGATCGATCTGTTAACTTGGATCGTTCGATCGCTCCATCTGTTAACTTGGATCGTTCGATCGCGATCGACTCGAAGATGAGGCAATAAGGCTTTGTCGGTGATAGAGATACCAGTAGTAGCAGTAATAGTAACAGTAGTAACAGTAGTGGCTCCTGCAGCGATCGATTGATCGTAATAGATAAAAGGATCCTCATTGAGATTACGATCGTCAATAGGAACAAGGGGAGGATTGCTTTGAACGTCCTTGTTGAGATTACGATAGTCAACAGCAGGAGGTGGAGTGTCCTCATTGAGATTACGATCGTCAACAGGATAAAGAAAGGGATCGACATGGGGATTGCTTACGAACGAATCCAGTCGAGTGGCAATGATGAGTGGATTGCTTACGAGCGAATCCAGTCGAGTACCATTGATAACAGATAGACATATAAGAATAAGAATGAGTAGCATCTCATGATAACCTCGCATGCTACCATGCGACAATACCATTGTGTATTGAATAATCTAAGGATCTAAGAGATGCAAAGTTTGTATTTCCAAATAAGTGAGCAGTTATTGATTATTTTCTAGAATAAGCCTGCTAATTGTAAAGCTGTAAAGCTGAATTGTAAGCTGTATCCCGTCGCATCCGACATACCTTGTTTAGTCATTGGGTATCTCACCTTCCGTACTGGCAACTTGTGCGGGGAGATTCATTGGCCCAAAGTTGCCTGGCTCCTCAGTGGCAAAATACCAACAAACCAAGCCAATTCCCAGCACCAGAGCAATTCAGGAAACAGGTTCCAAAGCTTGTACACAGGCTACCTTATTCAATTACACTTAGATTGAATTTCCCAGGCCCCTAGCAAAGTCCCAAGAAGTCATCTTTGTGGTTTCCAGATTACAGTTGAGCCAAGGCTTATTGCCCTGCTACAAGAGCCGAATTCCAGTATTTCCCAGGTACAGGCCAAACACCTCTTCTTTGTCAGCAACAAGTGGCACCATGTCTTTCTATGGTTTCTACAGCGATGTGAGCGACCCTTATGCACCTGGCTACTCCAAATGTTGGTGGCACCAAAACTGCCCTGGGCCCCAAGTCCAAAGTAGCTACACCCCCTGTGCCCGCCCCACACACCATGATGGAGCTGGCAACAGCAACCTAGCCTACTGCCACCGACATCGAGGCACACAGCCACCAGTGTCACCACCAGATGAATACAAATCCGTCTTTGACATTCTTGAGAAGACACCAGCACCACCTGTGTCAACAGTGTCCCCACCAGATGCATACACATCACCCTTCGACATCCTTGAGAAGAGGCCGGCACCCATGGCCTATGGTAGGACCAACCACCAGCTGGGTGATGGGGAGATTTCAGAGCTGTCTCCTGACAGCTCCAGTTGTCACCCAGATCCCATTTATACCCCAGCCATGGAAGACATGCTGATCCACTTTCAACAGCAACAGGTCACCGGTGCCCAGCAACTCGACCTCATGAGAGCTGACCACGAAACCTTCAAGCGAAAGATGGAAACTCAGTTCATCACGTTGAAGGACCAACTGACAACTCAACTGGAAGCCTTGGTCATGGTAGCTGCTAGGCCACCTGTCACAGCACCTACACCTGCTTTGACACCACCAGTTCATGGGGAGACCAATGCCACTCCACTGCCAGCCATGGGCAGTGATGATGGCGTCCACAAGCCGACTGGTGGCAGCGCTATTGGTACCCAACTGCTCCACAGCCCAAAGAAGCAGCAGCGCCACAGGGCTACTCGTCCCAAGCAAGATGCCACTGCCATCCAGCAACGATTGACCAATGCCCTCTTGGCTACCAACCAACTGCCCACCAATGTAGCCACGGCTCCATCTCCCAAGCTAGCTTGTGGGGAGTTGCCTGTCACACGACCCCTGTGTGTCCCAGCTATGAGCCACCAGCTGCCCAGTGCCACACCCTTGCATGCCCTCGCTGGTGCCCATCCATCGTTGGATGATGGGGAGATTATCGCGCTAGCCAGCCCTAGTAGTCATCCAACCTCTGGGGAGATCATGATGGCAAAACCTCCAGCCAGTAAGCAACCAGCTTCCAGAGCTGGTGCCAACAACATTCCAGTTGCACAACCAAATAGACCAAGTGTGGCTCCCACTCAGTCAGCTCTACAACCAAGAGCACATGAGCAGACTCACACAGTGGTGACCCCCAAGCAACCTGCTCCAAGGCACAGAGCACACAAGGGTCCCACCACAACCAACATAGGCAGGAGACCTAGTGGTCCATCACCCACAGTGACACCCAAGGTTCCCAGCCTGATTCCCACAGAACCACCAACCTATGGCACAGCCAATGCCACAAGACTCGTACCAAATGAGGTGCCGTTGTCTTTGGACAGGACCAGCCTTGGTCCAACCATCACCAGTCCATTTGCCAGGAGGCCTACCAAGCAGACACCCTCTACTCTTGGTGGAATCCATGGGGAGCAACCACAGCAAGCACCTTTGACCAAGACAGCTTTGGTGTCTCCTACCCAAGAGCTGACTGCAGTCTAAATCGGCTTCACTTTGTAAACCTAATATCGGTCCAAGGAACTTCACTGTTTGGGTTCAGGCAGCATCGCCAATGGCAATAATTGGCCCAACACCCAGGATGAAGGCACCGTTTAATATACCAGGCAGACCCTGGTGATCTCTGACACTGTTTATTGTGGTGGTGGTTGGTTGGTTGGTCATCCTTAGGGTTAGAGTTCTCATAAAATTGGTCCTCAGCCCCCACGCACCCCCTGGGTTTCTCTATTAATTGTTTTGCATTTCTACTCCACCTTTCATATATGTACTTCTTTCTTCCACTTGATTCCTCTAACAGACTTGACTCCCATTATTTCTATGAAACCTATGTGGTGCCCTGATACCTCATATATCTCTGTCTTTGTTTTGATGGTAGTGGTTTGTTGAAAATCCTTAAGGATAAAGTTCTCACAAATTGGACTTTGGCCCCCCACTTGAGTCCCTGTTTTTTTTAGTTTTTAGATTTGGCCCTTTGGTATCTCTTGGACATCTAGCCAGTTAAGGACCCATTCTTTTCACCGATTTTCAGTCATCTAAAGGACTTGCCCCATATGTCCATAACACCTTGGGTGCCATAATTGTGGTGGTGGCGGGTTTGGTTGGTCAACCTTAGGGTTAGAGTTTCTCTCTAAGTGACTTCAGCCCCCACCCCCCATTGGGTCTCATTATCTGAATATCTTACAGATTCCCATAATCATAGCAATGGATCCTAATATTTTCCTCACATTGCTCACCTCTAAACTCCCTTAAGCTACCAAGCTGCTTTCTCAGATGGAAGAATTTCTAGGGACTCGTGTTGCACACCTCAAAATTCCCTTTTAAAAGCTACCAAGCCGATTTCTCAGATGGAAGAATCTAGTGACTTGTGTTGCTACTACTGGAGTACTAGCCAGTACATGTAGCACTGGTATGACATACAGCTGTACCGGTACAGCGTAAAGTTGGGTTTGCAGGTGAAAAGATCATTGCATGGAAAGAGCTCCAAGTGTTGATCTAGGCTAGAGCCCAGTGAAGAATTGGTTAGTAAAGATTAGTTAGTAACAATTATGAGCTGGTAGTTTCTGGGTAACTGTCCCAAAACTAGATCACACAAGCCAGCTTGGGAGTGCCAACTCTAACAGCTACTAACGGTTTCTGGCTTCTATGAGGAGTCCTGCACGCAGGGGGGGGGGCAGGGACTGGGCTTGCTACCATTTAATAGTGTTTGTGATGTGGCATGGGACTTGAAGACTTAAGGGGCCTAATGCCAAATCAACACACCCTCACAATATTAAATGCGTGTTGCCTTTGTGTTGTTGTCATTGCTGTGTGGGCAAGTTGGTTGCTTGTACACTTTCATGTATATATTTTGCACATTTTGCCCTATGATGCAATGCAGGATGGTGCTTGGTGAAGTAGTCTCCTTTGTTGGTAATGCCAGGGCGCCAATAGATGGTGAGCTGGTCTTGTTCGATGCGATCTTTGAGCCAGTAAAATCTCATGTCGATGGCCTTGGATCGCTTTTGTTTCTTGGTGCCAGTGAGGATTCCTTCAGCCCACTTGTTGTCTGTTTGGATTGGTGTGGCTGGCTGGGGGTGACCCATTTCAATGAGTGTTTGTGGAATTGGACAAGCCTCTTGTGCATTGTTGAAGGCATTGCCGACTTCGGCTTCTGCTGCTGAGCTAAGAACGTTTTTCATTATCTTTGCTACAACGTGCACAGCTCCATTTGATGGGGCATTGTCTAGACTTCCATTGCTCAGGAAAAAGTAGCGTCCTGCTCTGGACCCAGCTTTGGGTGCTGATAGGTAGGAGGCATCGGAGTGTAAATGTAGGATCATGCCACTCCTTTTGTATCGGAGGATGGCATCAGGGTGGGTGGCTGCATAGTTGAGTAGCATTACTGTTGCCTGTAGTGTCTTCTTGGTGCCATTGGTTTGCTCAACGGCGATAAAGTCTAGGAGTGAGAGCTCTGGATTCCGTCAGAGATAGCTCCAACAGCTATGCTGGCCTACAGCTCCAGCACCCACAGCTGGCTTATCTCCAGCCAAAGCAGCAAGAAAGGATCGTCCTTTCTACCATAGTTAAGAAAATAGTACAAAAGATTGAGACCAATCCTGATTAGCTTGTAGCCCCTTTGATACCGCAGCAGTTGATACCAATCCTGTTGAGGCCGGGCAGAAGCAGTAGGAGGTAGCAGATAGTACTGTTCCCAGACTGCCACTGCACAATTGAATAACGAAGGCCACCAGCTCCTGAGGTGAGCTGGCCCAAAGGGCCCAGCAGAGAGCTCTGATGGCCCCCCTGTCTGACTTACAGGACCAAGTCCTTGGTTTGGGTGCCTACTGGAGGTGTGGAATACTCCTGAGGCACGACAAGGCTCCCTGAACTGCCTGACTACCAATGTCCCTGAGGAAGGGTTTCAGCGAGGTCCAGTCCACTACTTGAGTATTGGAACTGATCCTTCTAGAAACTTATTGAACGGCGATGTCACCTAATGCCATCAACATGGTGGAATTTACAGCTCATACATAGTATAGCAACACCCCTACGACTTTTTGGATTTGCTTGATGCCTTGTGGGGACAGGGGCTTACTGGTGCAATACACAGCTCTTAGCCTTATTCGAGACTCAATCCTAGATAGGGTTTGAGTTCGACTCATGACTGAGTCTCTCGTGAATAGTCATTTGAGACAGGGTTCTCAATGACCTTGCTAGTCATACTAGGTTGATGATGAAACATTGCTCTAGATATTCAGCCAGTGTGGAGTACTTCCACGCTACTAGATCCAGGCTAGACAAACCTTCCACTTGTTCCATTTTAGGATTGTGGAGAGATGTACGATTACTACCGAAACCTACTCTATCACACTTTATAGTCTTCCGCGGGAAGCCAAATCTACGATCCCTTGATGATGATCTCTCTCGTTGATTAGTTTTCATAGCTTTCTAATCTCTCTCATAACTTTCATTCTCTCAAACTCAAAACACTCGAAAGATCTTTACACTAGCTTTTAGCATAGTGCACTGGTGTCAGCTGGTTCTGTGAATTCCACTCGTTGTCCATATTGTGGGACGTTCCACTTGTGGGGTGCATGTTCTGGTCTTTGTGGTGTTGGATGGTTGAATCATTGAAGTGCTCTTTGGACATAGCTTGGCATGGACAGGTCCACTGTGCCTTCTTTGTAATCCCATTTCAATTGGATTCCACAATATAGCTCGCCGTCCCAGTGGGTGGTGATTTTGTAGATGTTGGCTACTGCATCAATGAGGTGTTGGGCATGTTCTTTGCCGACATATTTGATGCCAAAGTCATCTATGACTAATGTGAATGCAATTGGGTGGTGGGTGTGTTTGAAAAGTCCATGTACGTGTTTGGATTGAGTGTTGCCGTGTTCCTGTAAGTGGAGGATCAGGGCGTCATTGTTGATTCTTCCGGCTTGGGGAAGGCCATACATTCCACGTACAATTTCAACCAGCACATAGCTGTTGTGGACTAGCTTATGCAGGTTGTATTGTTCCATGATCTCGTCTGGGATGATGTCCACAGGAATGTGCATGTACTCTGGATGTTTCATGGACGTGTTCAAGTAGAAGTCCTTGATGTCCATCATCATGAAAAGTGTGGATATGACACTATTGAGGTTCATTTTGACGGTGGTTAAGGAAGCTGTTTTCGTGCTGACATCCAATGGGTATTCAATTCGGTCTCCTCCTACTGTAAAGTGGACACGTCGAGTTTCGGACTTCTGTGGTGGATCGTTGTCACAAACGACTCACAAGTATGTTGCTTTGCATTGTGCAGGGATGGCTGTGTGTGGTATGAATCGCATGGTGTCTGTACCTTTGAGACTGGTGGATGCCCATCCTTGTGCTAGTTGGCCCATTTCATTACAGCATGGGCTTATCTAGTGTTCACTGGCTGACAATTGCTTTAACACTTTGTAGTGAGATATGACTGCCTTATTCGCGAATCCATCAACAACAGCTACAGCATTGAACAATCAACAAACTAACACTCCCACACTTGTCAGGCATGCTTTGATTGCTCAACCAACTTGCTCTTGTTGTGACTTTTGGCAATGGGGTCATGGGGTCACCAAAAATTGTCATGTTCACAAAAGATCGAAATCGAACACGTCACTCTGGTAGCTTTGTCATAGGGGACTCAGGTTTGTCATAGGGGACTCACCTTTGTCATAGGGGACTCAGGTTTGTCATAGGGGACTCAGCTTTGTCATAATATGGGAAGGGGCCGCCACGCTTCGGATCGATGGGGTGCCGAACAGCGCACCCTGGCTTATTCCAGATCCTCGATCAGGGCCATCGATCGGCATGCATGCAACATGTTGCAACAGTGGGTGTGCAGGTGAAAAGATCGTTGCATGGAAAGAGCTCCAAGCATGAGCTCATGACACTATTAATATAAGATGCGACCCTCTTTTAGCCATGCCCATGATCACAACAGGCCGCTACGGGTCGTTCCTTTCTTGGCTGTGGTCCTGTTGCTATGCATATCCGCTGTCATAATCTGGTCCCGCAACCAAAGATCTTCTGATTTTCTTCAAGTGGCTCTTGCCGAAAAGCGCCAAAGACCAAAGCTTCAATCCAAATCTGGAACTACTATAGATAGTACTACTGATAGTAAAAACAACCAACTGCTGGTGATCACTCCTCTTGGCAATTCAACGTCCAACGAAAAAGGGGTTCACGCCTTGAAATGCTCCATGAAGTTCCGGGGACACAATCCAGAACATTTGATACGAGCAAAGTTTGATGACAAGGATGGGTATGGGGGGTAAGTGATACATATATACATCTCCTGTTAGTACTGAACCTGAACCTGAACATCATGCTTGACTACTTCAATTTATTTGATTGGCAGGTTGGATGTCAAGAAGATCAGAACGATATTAAAGACGTTACAAGAGTTGTTGTCCCAACAAGAATGGCCAGCAACTACCCTGATCCTAGTAGTAGATGCATTTGATGTTGTCATCCAGGCAAACCCACAAGAGATTCTCCAGGCATACGACGCACAGCCTTACCCAATTCTATTTGGTGCAGAAGCGGGATGTTGGAATCCAGTCACCAGTAAGTACTTAAGATGATACCACTCAACCATACCAACAATGGAGCATCACTCGGATTGATCACTCACTTTTTCTCATGCTTATTCCAATCTACGTATGTATATACAGAAACTCTCCAGAGCACTGTTTCGGCTCCACTCTGCACACTTCCCACACATCAAACCAGCATTGCCAAGGGTCTCTATCTCAATTCGGGAGTTTTCCTATCCACTTTGGGAACTCTGGCCGCATTTTTGGACCACGAACTCAATCACCAGGAGTTGCCGACCGAAAAGGAAGGCCTCGTGGCACTGCAAGGCTTCCCCGGTCAATTCAATGATCAGGCATATTGGGGATACTGGTACACAAAGTACCATCCACTCATTGGCATTGATAATACTGGCGACAACAACAATAAACTCATTATTGCCAATATTGGCAGGGATCACCGAAGTGCGCTACGGTTTGACATCACGACGGGATTGTTTGCCTTGGAAGATAATAATAATGGAAAACAGAAACAAGTCCCGCCCGTGATGCATTTTCCAGGATCTCATCCCAAACTGTTCAAGCCGTACATTGCTGCCAAGCGGTTCTTTGAGGAGCATTGCTAATTTTGATACAGTACGCAACAACAGTCGATCAAGCAAACAACAAGTCATACGACAATCGATTGATCGAAGAGACGACAATTAATTAAAATTGAGAATGCTGCCGTTTCTTCCTTTCGAGGCTTGTGTGAAAACGACGGCTCAAGGTGGTTGTCGGGAGCACGGAAGAGAGTGTTCGTCGAGGACTCGTTCGTGATTGTGCATTGGTGCTGCGGCGCAAGTATTTTCGACAAACGCGGCAAGAGAACTGGATCGAAGAAGGTACACTCGTACCTTTTCTAGCCCACAGCCATGTATGTACACTGTGCCACTCGATCACGGAGACCGGATGCTGCATGGTTGGGGAATTCCCCATCCACACTCAGTTTCCAAACAAAATCAATCGGCAGAGGTCAAACAATCAACATGCACCGGGGTTGCATTGCACACCACAAGCAAAGGTGAATGGAAGATGGGCAGATCTACCGTACGAGCTCCACGTTCCTTTGCCATATCATTGGCGCTCTGGAAGGTGATTGACGAGAGTCACGTATCAGTAGGTGCTTGGACTTTGCTCGGGAATGATCGAGAGACTAGGTATGGTGCGTATTCGGGACTAGCCAGTTAGGAGCGCAGAACTGTATCTTCGCTAGCTACTCGGTAGCGATAGCTACATCGTACCGGTACCGGTACAGTGGGTACCAGTAGCAGTCGTAAAGTACGATACCTGCTCCTTGGCGAAAAGAGTGCACCAATTAATTACAGGTTTGATGACCGGAAGGTCATTTGATTAAGTAGCGCCCTTTACATGCACAGCCTTTTTGTGGCCTGCCACATAATTAACGAAGGGAAGACCTTGGTGAACTGGCTCCAACGATGTACGATACCAAGAAACAGTTGCGCTTTTGATCATGCTTTCTCACTCTTATACTGTCGCAACCTTCCGTACCAGCTCAAGCCATTCATGAGTGTGGCAATATAATTGACATTGAATTGTCTCGTTTGCTTCACAAAAGCTCCACCATTTGAAAACTGACCCACCATCCATTGCATTTCATCAGTCAGTCAGGACTTATTTATAAAACATGATCCATCAGATGAAACTCGAGAAAGGGGAAGACACGAGAGACGAGGAGAAGAAAAGGATGAAGGAAAGAGGGGACACTAAGAATGATGTGGTTGGAACCTTTTTGAGTGCTCGCGTGGAGACCTTTTTCTCCAACCTTGCTTTTCTCATGGGAAACAATGAATGGGAAGAAGATGAGGATGACGACGACTACCAATGTAGTACCAATGACTATACTAGTGGTGGTGGTGGTGACATATTGTCGGATGATTCGTGGCGCATGGAACAGAAGATTGCCGCATATAGTCATAGCCTCGAGGATCCTTCCTGTCATACCAGACCTTCCAGCAATCATTATGATGACTTTAGACATATGAGTTCCATGTTGGATCATGAACAAGAGGACGGTGATACAGAAGAGGAAGAGGATGAGCCGAGAGATTCGTTTGTGTCCCTAGTATTATGAAGAGCTATTCTGTATGTAAACTATCGCGTGCAGTAATCTACATTGTAGTAGTGTGCTCATCTAGCTTGCATGCTCTACGCCCACCAACATCATACAGTCTAACTTTTGAATGAGGATGGATGAAAAAGGCTTTGCATGGGAATATCTTCAAGTCTGGGCTCGTGGTTGCATGGTGGTACCGGGTGGTGATGGCCTCAGCCTTCTTGCCTGGACTTTGCCTTCAGTTTTCTTTGAGACTGACTCCCGCGACGTAGCGAAAGATTTTATTTACAGCTCTCACAGGCTTGAAATGGGATCCACCTACGTCAGACAAGAGCTCGACAACTTCAACCATCAATTGAGGAGAAAGAAAACATGAAGGGTGTCATTTTGATTGAAGTGACAACACCAACCAAAAGAGAAGAGAGTTAGTCTAGCCACTAGCTAGTAGTTGTTGAGCGACCATGACAAGAAGATTATCCCAAGTGTCTATATCCTTGGTCCTGGCTTTTGCCTCGACTGTGTCTGGATTTTCTTCCCTTCAGCCACTTTCACCATTACAAGCAGCAAAAGGAGACCGTTGGTCGTCTCGCGTCTTTTTGTCCAACAAGATTAAAGAGGATAGCAGTAGCAGCAGTGGCAGTGGTACTCAGGCAGTGTTAGATGAAGCCAGTGATGCATTGGCCAATGTGGGTTGGGCGCCTCCTCGCGAAGATGGGGAAATGACGTCGGACGATCCGTTTGTCCAAGAAATTGATGCCGGCATTCAACGTGATTTCGGTGTGGGCTTGGACGAATTGCTCAATCCCGCCAAAGTGGTCAATTTGGAACGAGATCTCTACAATCTGCGCTTGGAGTTGGCCGAACTGACGGGTGTCACACTCGAAGAAACTGTGCAGTTGACGACAGAACAATGCGACGGTGGTGGTGGAGGAGAAACGGCGGACGAACTTCGAGCCAATATTGAAAAGAAGGAAACGAGTTTGGTGATTGAACGACGATCTGTATTCCGAGGATGGCTCAAAAATGTATTCTTGGTGCAGGCTGTCTTGAGTTTTGCACTCTCGTGGGTCATGGCCACAAATCCAGAAGCACTCTTTGGACAGTTTGGATGGTTCCAAACTTACAACATGTAAGTCAAGAAATTAAACCAATACAATCTGGTCTGGTCTGGTCTGGTCCTGAACTGAAGATACCCATTATTGTGGTCTTACCATTCTTTTTATTTTGTATTGTTTTTATTTTTTGTAGGGACATTTCCATCAAGGTCCTGGGATACTGGTGGTGGTGGCTTTTTGTGGTCCCTTCCTTGCGGTCCAGAAGACCCACTGGAACTGAGAAAAAGGCTCTCGATATTGCATTTTTGGGAACTCCCATCATTTCACTCATTGCACCCGTTGCCACCAAAGACACGGCCATTATTTGGGCTGCCAACTTGGCGGTCGTACTCGGCAGTTATGCCTTTGCCTTTGCTACGGATGGGGATGAAGATGATGATGCTGGTGCTGGTGATGACAGCAAAACCCCAGAGTGGCTCAAGTTTGTCTACAAGTCTCTCGACTTTGGAAGTGGACGTGAACGTGGGGCGCGAAATTAGCCAGGCTAGGCAACACATTACAACACGAGCATGCAGGAGCCACAAAATATCATACATACTCTATAACTTTTTAACAACAATAATCATCAGGAGCTGTCAAAAGAATCGATACGGCAGCTTGTTGTCATGGTGGCGCCTTCGTCTCCAGTCTGTCTCGTGGCTCAGGTTTGACACGGGCTGTGCTCCTTGTTTTGTTTCAGTATCTCGGACACGGATGATTGATTCCTTTTCACGAAGAGACGAAGGGGGGTATCTGCAGCCAACGTTACAGTAACGATATCTGCCGTAGCTAGTCAGTCGTCAATAGCCAGCCAGCCAAGCAATTACCGTGCTGCTTGTTTGGCTGCTCTCCTCTTTGCTTCGTCAATCAGCCACTCTCCTTTCGGTCCCTCCCCTTCTCCTCCTCTACAGCAGTTAACTGATCAATGATGGCGAAGTCCCTCTCGGGAGTCGAGTCGATGGGAACATCACTCGTCGCACATGACGGGCGGGAGCTTAAATCATGGCAGTGCTACTCGTATAGTAGTACATGTAGCTAGCTAGCTAGATCATCTAGATAGAGGGGGCCGAGCGTGAGGAGCAACTTGGTCCATAGCGTGGAAAAGAGTGCGCGAGTGCGCTCGAGTTGGAATGGTTCTGGCAGGACTGCATGAATGTCTATATCATATTCTGGAGCTCCTCGAGCTATCCGAACGACTACATGCACGGAAGCAAGACAATCCAAGAACCCAAGCAAGAAGGCAACCATGCATGCAGCCAGCCCAGCCCGTAACCATCACACTCTCTTTCATTCCGTCATAGTGCATCTGTCATTTGGCTAGAAGTAATAAGTAAGACTCCCACTGCTGAAAAGAAAGACTATGCAAGTGTTGCCCAGTGGAGAGTGAAAAGCGAAAGACCGGTGAGCGGTGAGCCCGTCCCTTTAGATTTGCTTCCAACCCTAAGATCTTTTGAAGGGGTAGTTTCCAGTACCGTACCGATTCTTGGGCTTTAAGCCTCCAAGTCATCCTAGCAAAGTACATTAACCCCTTGGATGCCATCAACCATCCCTTGTGAAAACGCGTGATTGCTGGATTGTTGCTTGGACGCCGTGAAACCACAACGGCTTCTTTCGCAATAACCAGGCATGACAAAGTGAGAAGTAAGAGAGCAGCAAGTCAGAGGTCAATTGCAATCGAAAGGAACAGATAAGATAAAGAGAGTGGAGACTGGCGAGGCAGACAAGCAACGAGGTCGAGGTTGCAGGTAGTCGATCAGCTTGGAAGACGGAAGGGCAAGCACTTCTCTATAGCTGGTTGGGTACTCCTACAATTGCTTCTACCCCTCCTGTACCTGTAAAGCACCCGTCAGTCCATTGAGTGAGCTGCAGCATTCCTATACAGCTTATTAATAGGAGCAAGGCATTCATCAATAAGAAGATCAGGGAGATCAGGAATTCATCAGATCATCAAGATGTCGCCAGAGCCAGAACCTTTACAATCCCGCTCAGATGAGGAGGCGAACAACGATGAGTCATCAATGGTACCTGAAGAAGTCTCCGTAACCTCCTCAGCAGGAACGAGAAACAGCAAGCGCACAGAGAGCGTGGGCACATGTAACAGCAGTACCAGCTCTCACTCGAGCAGGAGCAAGGATTGGACCGAGGCTACCCAACCGCCCAGTGGCAGCATTACTACATGTAGTGGCAGCAGCTGTTCCGAACAGAATCCAGACGACGACGACAATGATGATGATGATGATGAAGATGACCAACAGAGTGTTTCCAGTTTTCATAGTACAAACACTCATGCCATGGATATATCAGAAACATCTGCAGACATGGATGGCAGTCCACCTGCACTGGCATTGACAATTGATCAAGATGAAGATCAGGATCAGGAGCAGGATCCGCAGAAAACTGACTCTGAGCAAGATCAAGATCAAGATCAAGATCAGAATCAGGATAAGTCTGATCATCACAAAGAAAGCAGCTCAGAAGAGGAGAGGCAGATTGTGACATTCCAAGTTGATCAGCAAGAACTGGAGGTAGAAGAACTCCAACTCGTGGCCTATAATCCAAATTCCCAACAACCCTCCCATAAGCGCCGCCTCAGCACCGGCAGTAGTACTGCCAGTACCATACGAAGATCAGATCTCTCCTCCACTTCCCAACATCTCGGACATTTCCATAAACCTCTCGATCCACAAGAAGAGGAACGACGACGCAACGAAGTATCGGCCGCCATGGAGATTTTAGAGCATATGCGACGCGCCAATCTCGTCATGGAATTTGGACCCGGCGTCGATCTACATGCCTGTGTCTTTTGCCTCCGGGAAGAACGAAAACGACAACACAACAACAATGATAATAGCAACAACAATAATGCCCATCCCACTTGCCACAAGAAACCCAAACCGACACTCCAAGATTTTCTGCTGCCCAAATTCAAACCGCGCAACAAGGAATGCTTGATTTGTCACACGCCGGTTTGCAAACAACACTGGGACAGTGGCTTTTACTTTCAACAAAATGTCATTCTCTGTCAGGATTGCGCGCCACTCTTTGATCTCGATAACTTGGTCGAGTGCATGAACTTGAACAACAATACTAAGACTACGACCAAGAACACCAACAGCAATGAAACGTCCTTGGTGGTCGCGCAACAACAGCAGCAACAAATCCAAAAGGCCCAACAAGAACAGCACATGCGACAACTGTTGATCGTGTACGATCGGGCCTTGTTGGCATTACGACATTCCAGTCAATCCTTTGATGACAATGCACGACGGAGACTCGCACAAACCAATTGGCACAAGGAAGGATTGGGGATTGGCTCGAGTGTCACCAACATTGCTTCGGGCGTGACCGGAATTGCCGCCACGGCCGTATTCATGACACCCTGGGGGTCGTGGCTCCTATTGACCAGTCTGGCATTGGGTGGTATTGCCACCGCCGTCGGAAGTGGGTCCTTCTTGGTAGAGCGACTTTGTCCCCAAACACGACAGGCCGAACAAACCATTGCATTGGCGTCCATGGTGGATTCCTTGCTGGAAGCAACGGCCATTTTGCGACAGGCACGGATTGCGGGGGCATTGCCACCGGCGTCGTTTGATGCAAGCGAACATGATGACTATGACGACGACGAGGATTTTGACGATTTTGACGATGACGCTTCGATGCAAAGCATCCGGTCTCTTCCCAGGTTACCACCAGTACCCATCCGCACAGCAGACTCCTCATCAGATGCCACCGCCCTGTTCCTGCAAGAAGACAAGGAACAACAACTCATGATTACCATTCTCAAGGCCAAGATGGATGCCGAGACACGACGAGCTAGAAATCCTTTGCAATCCGCCATGAAACGGATCAACAAACAGGTCAAGGATCACCAACGCAAGCATCCACGGCTGCGGCGTTTGAACAGGAGAAACAAGAATGACAGTACTACATTTTGTAGCAGCAACAACGATGGCGGTGAAGGAGAAAATGCCGGAGAAGAAGTTGGTCCATTGAAACGAGTAGCGTGTCGAGTTCGAAAAGAAGTAACACGGGCCAAGAAGAAGACGGGAGAAGCAGTCGTGGTGGCAAAAACTGCAACGGCACTAGCGGCGGTGGGCATGTCAGAAGGTGGCGTAGGTTTCATTCGGAGATTTGGGGGCAAGCCCCATGGTGCCACTGTGGCAAAATCCTCTCCTTCCACTAGTAGCGCCCCTGCCGAAAAGGACGACACGGAATCCAAAACTGCGGAAATGAAGTGCGAGGCTACAGGTGAAGGCACTCATAGTGACCAAACTGGCGGCAATGACAAGACTAACGACGACCAGACGAAAACGACTTCCGCAACGAAGCAACCGCAGCAGCGTAGAGTGTCGTTCAGGGACGAAATGACTGCTGCTCGACAAGGTGTCCAATTTTTCACCCGAAACTTGTTCAACGTGGGATCCATGGGCAACGGCGACGACGACGAAAACAAAAAGCAACAGAAAAACACAGACGAGTCGGTGGTGGTCCGACAACCCTCATTCAAAACCGTCAGGTTCCCGTTCAAGGACGTGTTGGTTCGAGTATTCTTAGTCCGCAGCAATACAAAAGGTCCCGCGACGAACGACTTGACATCCTCCAACGAACGCGCCCTTGTTGCCAAAATCCGTAATAAGAACATGGACCTCAAACTCCGAGCTTCCGATCGAGTCATGCAGGCGTTCACCCGTACGAATGTCAAGGTGGCCAAACAGGATGTGAAAAGAGATCGAAGACAACGGTTGATGGCCAGTGGCGAGTCAGATGGAGAGCAAGCACCCAGCAATCAAGTATTTGTGAAGAACGCTCGGTTCTTGGTGAAGGCGTCCTTGACCGTCTTGCGGGAGACGGCTCGATATGCTGGTGGTGCCTTTTCTGCGGCCATTGTGTGCGTGGAAACGATGGAACTCCAGGAGAAAGTAAAGCGCATTCGAGGCAAAGGTTTGCGTTCTGCGAATGCGGAAAAGCTAGAGCAACTCAAACATCACTTGTGGGAAAACCAAGGAAGTTTCCCGGACACAACGACTCTGGAATGGGAACTTTCTGGCAACGCCAAAGGCGAAATTGTGGAAATTTTCGACGGTGACGGGAACAGTAGCATCCCACACTGGAGTAGTTCATACGAAGGTCAACGACCCGACGGCAGTTGCGCAAACTTGCCGATTATGGAGGACTCATTGTCGATACCGGCCTATGGTTACACCATGGAGTTATCGACACCCTACCACCTCCATTAGAAAAGAAAAAGAATAGTAGCATAGATATAGATCTATCGGTTCCGCAGTGAATTTTAGTGGTCATTTAGTGAAGCTGTAGTTAAACTATTTAGCTTTGGCTTCTGTTCTCAATCTCTTTCTAGTTTGCTACAGGGGCCACAAAGATCCTTGATGGTTCCCATTCAATGCTGTTCCAATCTACTAGACTAGCTAGGCTTGGGCATTCCCGGCGTGATCAAACTCTGGCTTTGATCACAAGCTTTTGGACTCCCAATCCTGTAAAGACATCTTCAAGTGACTTGAGTGTCTGGGGGCCCTTACGAGACAATGTGATTACCCCAGCTTCGTGTTCTGCAGTGATCTTCCCAACGAAATGGGCTTCATGTGTTACCATGCTGGGATCGCTTTTGTCAGGTGTACTTGCGAATGCCATCGACTGTGGGAACACAGAATTGAGCAACACTTTGCCAGTGACATTGTTCCAGATGATCATTCGTTTCTTTTTGTTTTCCTTGTGCTCCTGGAGTTTCAAGTCCCCCTTGAATTTCTTTTCATATTTTCCTTGTTTGTCAATGGTGTAAACAGGAACTTTCGGAATTGTTTCAAGGAGCTTCCAGTCCGGATCCGTATCAGCCATCACCGCGTGAATATTTTCATCCAATGGGGCATCACCAGCTTCATTTGCTCCAGAGCTTGGTGGCGCAGGAGCAGGGGTTCCACCACCAAAGGCCGTGGTCATACCGTCACCGGCATTGGGGGCATTTGTCGAACCAAACCGGAATGCCTTTGGAGATGGAGCAGGTGCTGCTGCACCAAAGAGATTTGGAGCAGGAGAAGCAATGCCAAAATCTTTGCTGGTGGTGGCTGGTGATTTGTCGTCTTCGTCCTTTTTGCTGTGTTTCCAATACTGATCTTCAACCACGTAAAGAGCGTCCAAAACATGATCGACAATGGGCAACATATAAGTGGTTTGTGGGTTGATTTCTTTGCATGTTTTGGCGAATGAGTCTATAAAAGCACAAGCTTGATCCTGGTAGCGCTTGACAAGTTTTTCTTGACCACTGAGGGGGGCTCCTTCCGTGGATGCCATATTGGCTGGTGTGGCCACAGGTGTCATAGCGCTGGGCGTGGCTGGAGCGGGAGCCGCAGCAGAGAATGAAAATGAAGCAAAGGGGTTGGAACTCGAACCCGCAGCAGGAGCAGGAGCCGCAGCAGGAGTAGACCGAGGCGCACGCTTCGCCGTGACACGGCTTCTCTGATTGAGTACGTCGGGTGCCGCCTTTTCAAATCCTTTGCCGTCGTCTCCTCCACTATCCTGGGCCATCATGGCCTCATAGTCTTCCTTCTTCATTTGGGAATTCTCAGATCCTCGTTTAGGCATCTTGTGCAAGGCTGCTTCTGGCTACCAGTAGCTAGCTACTAATAGTAGTGGTAGTGGGTTAGTCAGGACAATGATCACACAAGGCAACAACAGCAATGGCTCCAGGTGTTGTCTCCACCAACAACACCAAGTGGTCTCCACACAAGATCTGCTGCTGTGGATTGTGAGAGCACGCAGTGGCAAATCAGGGGCCTTAAGTGACATTGGAGGAACCCTTGGCACGGCATCCTTGCTTTTCAGCTATGCTTGCTTGCTCTTTTCGTATTTTTTACCTCACTGTATTGAAATTTAATCTTCGGTAAAGAACACATAAATAATTTATCTCAAAAAAGATTCATTTGAAGGAAATACGCAAATTCAACGAATTTTCAAAAATCCAGCACGCCGGGAGCGCCTCGTGCGGGAAGTTCGCTAATGCTAGCCCTAGAGACTAGCTAGCTACAAGTAAGTACTGGTAGCTAGGGTAAGTTTTATGCTGTTTGTACCAAAGCAAAAGCTAGCTCACATTGGGTTGAGAGCAGCTTGGATTCCGTCACTAACAAATAACACGGAGACATGTCGGCCAGGCATACTTTAGTTTTTTTAATAGCTAAATAAATATCCATAAGACATCAACTCAAACCGTCCAAATTTTTGCATGTTAGGGTTGGGGATAGTGTACACACACAACCAACACCAACCAACATCAGCACCAATCGATCGAAGCAAGCCAATAAGAAGAAGACGATGGCGTCCGTACAATACCATCCATCTCCAAGGCAACACAGGAGCAGCACCCACGCACAGCTACAAGCAGTAGCCAACATCAGCAGGAACAGCACCATTGTCTGGCTTGGCCATATCTGCAAGCGACAGAGAAGAAGAGATGAGATGAGTGCATCAAGACAACAAGCAACAACAACAATCCACGCTGGAGCCGACTCACTCTTCAGAGGCACTGGGACAATCCTTTCTGGTATGTACCATCATCGGAGTCAGAGTCATCGTTGAGCATGGTGCCTCCTCCAAACTGCTTGATGATGGAATTGAAGCCGACACTATCCTCATCAGAAGCCATCGAATCATCCGCAGACTTGTCGGTCTTGACAGGAGTCTTGACGGGAGTCTTGACGGGAGTCTTGACGGAGTCCATGGAGACATCAACATCCTTCCACTTGGCATCGACTTCAACGCTGTCATCGTCGCTGTCCTCTTTCTGGAGGAGGAGGTCGGTGCTGTGGATGAAGTCCAAAATCCTTTTCGAGGCCGCGGCCTTGGATGTGTCGACGTCCAAACGCTGACAATAGTGCGATCCCATTGATTCCTTGGTCGAGCCTAGACTATCTTGGACGTCCTTGAGGTCCGCGACCGCGAATGTGTCCGCCTTCGCCTTCGAATCGGCCTCCCGAGCCCGAGCAAACTCTTCCTCCATCGCCTTGGCCTCAGCCTCTTCCTTTTCAGCCACCACTTCGATGAGCGTGAGCACAGTTTGAGTCCAGTCGAGTATTGACTTCACCATAGGGACTGCAAGGGCCTTGCCAAAGTCTTGGACCGTTTTGTTGCACTGATCAAGAACCTCTTGCGGCGCGCGGGGAAATTCCGAACGAGGGAAGAAGTCACGTTCCCAGATTTCGCGCATCTCTTCCTCCATCTCTTCCTCGAAGACTTGAATGATTTCTCTGCGGGCAGCAGTGCGAGCTCGTGCAGCATCTTCGTCCGACGTGAAGTTGCCTTGGACCTGGAAGCGAATCAAGCCTTCTTCATACTCCGCTTGAGAGTCGAAACGTTCATGGTCGGTGTCAGAACTTCTCCATCTTCTCATCCAAAGCGATCACTGGCAATACTCGTCCGGTGAATTGCACAATTGCCACTTGGTGTGGCACAAGAAAGGAACACAGTGGTGAGTTTGGATTTGGGCTGGAAGCAAGCTGGACTTTGTTCCACTATGGGCATGTTCTTACCTATTTCGTTCCAGGGACTTGCTTTCCAATCCAAGTGCCAAAAGACTCCGCCATGGTGCAATCAAAAAGAGCAATCGAGTTAAATTTTCTGCAGCGGTTCTGTTGTAAATTGTTGGTTGGCTGAAAAGTGAGCCAAGAGTGTGGTGTATCGACTGGTGGAGTCAATGCGAACGCATGAGTTGGCCAGTCATCGATCCCGGGAGAGCCACAGTTTGGCCTTAGTTAAACACGCGATTCTGTCTTGGAAGACGATTCCCAGAAAGGAATGTATCGATCAACAACCGGAGAAGGATTCTCGGAGTCTTCTCGGAATGTAAAGTATGGCCCAGGAATTTGAATCCACACGGGATCCAACTTGTGCGAATCGTAAAGTATGGCACAGAACTCTCCTGCTCACGGGATCCAACTCTTGCTTGCAGTGCGATATCGATGCTTGTGTAGTGCAGCTAGTCGCGATTGACACTATTTCACTCTCTTTTTGCCGAATGTAAGTGTTTTGTATCTTCGGATTCGATTGTGCCTTGGCCATGAGCCGTCTTCTCCTTACTCGTCTTTTCCTGCTAAGCCGTCTTCCTTGTATTCTTTGATAGTCGATTCGTGCTCGACACCGGTACATGAGCATCAAGGCCCTGACTGAAGTGGCAGGCAGCGAACCTGGAATTGGACTGGAGGTGACTGTCGGGCTGTTGCATTGCTTGGAATGGTTACATTGGTTGTGTACGTTAGGTGCGGGTGTCTGAACACCATCGAATCATCTGGCGTTAAGATCTTTCGTGGCAAAGGATCGATTGCACTTGAGCGCAAAGGGCACAATGATGAGTTTCGGTTCGTTCTGGATGGATGGGGTGGAGTCGTCCACACCGAGCACGACGGATACCAATTGATTAATCAAGAACGTGGCTGGTTTGATTTCCTCCTCTCGAACAGCCGACCATGGACGCTGCATGATCCGACCAAAGTCTACGGAGATCACACTACTTGTCGACAGTACCGTATCACGATGGCAAAACACCCTAGCTGCCCTGACACTGACATTGCCGAGCTTGTTTTCTTGATTCCATACACGACAACCAATGATCAAGGTCCTGCCTTCCTTCTTGGTTTGCGCTGGGTGGCCAGCATGGTGGCTCAGCATTGTTGCTACGAGGACTTTTATGCTGGCGTACACGCGAATGAGATCAATGACGCTGTTAAAGTCAAAAAGGAACTTCCTACGACCAAGTCTCTTGGTCCTCCTGATTATGAGCCCACCGCTCTCGCAGTCTCTCTCTCTGTTCC